TCAAGCAGAGTAACTTCTCTGCTCTAAAAATCCTTTGTGCTCTACCTGGAACAACCTGATGGAGCTTCTGACGAAATTATGGAGAATTTCCTATGACTGCATCCTTCTGGAATTTTTAACTCTCAAACTAGTCCACACTGTGTGCGATTTCTTTTGACGCTGCTGTGTCTACAGAAACATCTGCCATTTCATACTCAAGTCTCCACAGTACTTTTCTCATTCTCACTACTGAAAAATCTTTTTGTATTACACAACGACATAACCTTTACTTACACCCCAATATCCTTTACATATTACACCCTGTTTTGCTTACTAGCCTGAGAATGAAATATTATTTCACTATACTGTAGTATGCTATTTTATAGTATCTTATTTTCAGCTCATAAAATAACTTGAGAAATTAAAGACTTATTTTACTAAAATGTTTTTCAGTTTTGAATTATTTACTGCAAAAAAAAGGTTTAATCTTTTTTACCAATAAATTTAACATAAACACAGCAATTGAAGCCAGAATTGTTTTTCTTCTATTTTTACTCTAGTACATGCCAAACAAACTACAGCTGTACATTTGTACTTCCATAGTGTAAGCTGAATGCTGTCATTTGAGGTAATCACTTAATGTAATTACAATGATAAACATAAAGTAGAATGTGGAAATACTCTTCCATATAAGCAACAGAAATATTGGCAAATTTATAAAAAACTAACATTATGGTTATGGAAGCTTTGAAAACCAGCAATGTTGTTGTCAACACTGGGGCCAAAACTAGTTTTGGAACTTCTCAAAAATCCTCATTTCCAGGTCATTGCCACTACTTGACCTGACTTACAACTCACTAGAGAAAGCTCCATTGGCAAGATGTTGTTTTCTGTTTGACCTGATTCAGAGTCTCCATGGGAAAAGACCTGGACCCCAGGGTGTTGTTGAAAACAGTCAGATGTAGTACCACAACTTTTGAAGCCTATGATGCCAGGTGGGACAAACAGGAGCCCTGTCAAAAATTTGAAAGGAAGATCTGGGCAAAGGGCCACAACTTTTTGAAAAATCTCTCACATGTTCCTGGGATGAGAATGTTTTACATGCCCAGGCCAGTGTCCTCTCTCAGAAAAACTGCAGAGAGATGTAGTCTCTTACCTCTGGTTGACCGTATGTCTCTATATAAGCTAGAAGTCAGGGGTAAGACAGATGTGTAAGTTGCCTGAGTTTTGACTGCAGCCATGAAATTAAAAGGCACTTGCTTGTTGGAAGGAAAGCTATGACAAAACTAGACAGTATATTAAAACGTAGAGACATCACTTTGCCAACAGAGGTCCGCATAGTCAGAGCTATGGTTTTTCCAGGAGTCAGATATGGATGTGGGAGTTAGACCATAGAGAAGGCTACACACAGAGATCCCCTTGGCAAAGGGTTGAAGACACTGACCCAAACCATTTAAGGAAATCTTGTGACTTCTAAGTGACTCAGTAGCAGCCTTTACTCTGCCAGGTTTAAAAAAATACAGCAGAACTGATCAGGAGACTTCAGTGGTTCTATATAGCAGGAATTACAGACTCTATAGAATTTAGTTCTGGAAAATTCACTGAACAAATAAATAACCCCATCCACAAAAGTCCAGCCACAATAAACTTGGGAGAGGGAAGGTAGGAACTGATTCTGGAATTGTCACATTTTGCTATCTGAAATGTCTAGATAGCATTTTTTTTGGTTTTGGGGGTTTTTTAGTTTTTAATTTTGTATTGAGGTATAGCTGATTAACAATGTTGTGATAGTGTCTAGTGAACAGCAAAGGGACTCAGCCAACAACATTGTTGTTGTTCAGTTGCTAAGTCATGTCCAACTCTTTGTGACCCCACGGACTGCAGCACGTCAGGCTTCCCTGTCCTTCACTATCTCCTGGAATTTGCTCAAATTCACATCCATTGCGTCTGTGATGCTATCTAACCATCTCATCCTCTGCCACACCTTTCTCCTTTTGCCTTCAATCTTTCCCAGCTTCAGATTCTTTTCCAGTGAGTCAACTCTTCACATCAGGTGGCCAAAGTATTGGAGCTTCAGCATCAGTCCTTCCAATGAATATTCTGGGTTGGTTTCCATTAGGATTGATTGATTTGATCTCCTTGCAATCTAAGGGTCTCTCAAGAGTCTTCTCCAGCATCACAGTTAGAAAACATCAGTTCTTTGGTGCTCAGCCTTCTTTATGGTCTAACTCTCACATCCATATCTGACTACTGGAAAAACCATAGCTTTGACTATGCGGACGTCTGTGGGCAAAGTGATGTCTCTACTTTTTAATATACTGTCTAGTTTTGTCATAGCTTTCCTTCCAATGAGCAAGTGCCTTTTAATTTCATGGCTGCAGTTGTCATTCATAGTGAAACCATAGTCCCCCCAGGTCCCCTCCCATCCAGGCTGCCACATAACATTGAGCGGAGTTCCCTGTGCTAATCAGTGGTCCTTGTTACCCATTTTAAATATAGCAGTATATCCATCTCCATCCCAAACTCCCTAACTATCCCGTCTCCCCGTTATTCCTCCCAGCAATCATAAGTCTCTAAGTCTGTGAGTCTGTTCTGTAAGTTCATTTGTATCATTTCTTTTTAGATTCCACATATGAAGGATGTCATATGGTTTTTCTCCTTCTCTGATTCACTCCACTCAGTATGACAGTCTCTAGGTCCATCCATGTTGCTGCACCTGCCATTATTTCATTCTTTTTAATGGCTTGTATATTTGCATATTTGTACTACATCCTCTTTATCCATTTCTCTGAAATGTCTAGTTTCTGACAAAAAAGTTTATGATATACACCAAGAAGCAGGGAAAATTCAGTCCAGAAAAACTATCCCATATGTTGGGCTTACTAGATAAAGACTAGTAAGCTTTTATAGATAATATTCAATGAATTAAACCATAATTAAGGAGTGAAGGAGAAATATGACAAATACATCTTTTCAAATAGTATTAAAAATAGAAATAAGAAAAAACAAATCAGAACTCTGTAGTTGAAAAGTGTAATAACTGAAAAGAAAAAACTGGAGGGACTCATGAGCAAATTTAAGCTGGAAAAACAATCAGTGAACTCAAGAGGCAGATCAATAGTGATTATTCAGTCTAAGTAATAGGGAGAAGAAAGAATGAAGAAAAAAATGAATGAAACTTCAGAAAGCTGTGAGACACTATCAAGCATACCAATACATACAGTGCAGACTCACAGAAGATAAGATGAGAGAGAAAGAGCCAGGAAAAAGTTGAGGAAAGACTAGCCTAGATCTTTCCCAATTGCTTAATAAACATCACTTTATACATCCAGGGAGCTCAGTGAACTCAAAGTAACATAAACTCAAAATGGAAAAGATCAGGAACTACCAAAACAATTTTGAGAAGGAATAAAGTTTGAGGACTTTTTCTTCCCTATTTCAGATTTATAAAGCTCTAGTTATTAAGACATTGTTGTACTAGCAGAAGAGTAGATATGTATGGATCAGTTGATTAAGAATCCAGAAATAAATCAGTATTTATAGTCCATTCATTTTCAGTAAAGGTGCCAAGCAATTCATTGGGGAAAAAGTAGTCTGTCTCAAATGATACTGGGACAACTGGATTCATATCCATCCACATGCAAAAAGATTTACTAAGGCTTTTACTTCAAACCATACACAGAAATTAACTTAAAACTGATCACAGACTTAAATGTAAGAACTAATGTTAGAAAAACAATAGAAAAATCTTTAAGAACTTGGATTAGTCAGTTTTTATATTTACAATACCACGTGTTCTATAAAAAAAGATAAATTGGACCTTATAAAGTTAAAAACTTACCAAAGTACAAAAACTTCTGTACTTATCTAAAAAGATAAGCAACAGAATGGTTGAAAATATTTGCAAAACACATTTCGGATGTGTACCCAAAAGTTTCAAAGAACTCAGTAATGGGATTGGAACCATCATGTATTGGTGGTGTATGGGAAGTGATCATCATGTATTGGAAGTGATACCCTGCACTGTCTGTCAGTTTCACAGAGTCAAACACAAGATTGTAACATGATACAGTATTTGCACTTTTCAGGTATTTGCCTAAGACCTAAATACATGTCCATACAAAGATTTGAATGTGAGTGTTTAAAAGCAACATTATTCAGAATAACAAAAAAAATGAAACAGATATCCATAAACCAGTGAGTGGGTGGACAAGATGTGTTATGTCTACACAGTGGATACTATTTAGCAACAGAAAAGAATGAACTGCTAACCTATTTAAACATGTGGATGGACTGTAGAAACATTAGGTAAAGAAGCCATCTATACATAAAAGTTACATATAGTATGATTCCATTTGTATAAGTTTTCAGAAAAGGCAGATTTATAGAGGTAAAATATAGCGGTTGCCTAGGGTAGTGGGTGGTAAATATGCATGAGGGGTCTTATTGGAATGAAGAAAATGTTCTAAAACTGATTTATGATGATGCTTGCACCACTGGGTAAAGTTAGTAAAAATCATTGAATCATATACTTGCAGTGAGTAGATTTTTACCATATGGAAAATGTGTCTCAAGAAAGTTTATTTTAAAAAGCAAATGTGGGAAGCAAAATTGTATTGCATTTTGTTTAACTTGAAGCCCAAAATGGTTACATTACTTTTCTAAAGCCATCAGAATGTAAGGATACATTAAAAATTTTCCAGTGTTTTGTGACTCTTAATACTATTTCTGGGGCCAGGATCTCAAGAAATATCAGTGGAACTCCCTTTCAGACTCACATTGCCATATGTGTCTACACTGTTTTGTACAAACCATATTCTCCTAGCTGCAAAACAAAACTTACTGTATTTGCTTATCTTTGAAAATGAGTCATTACCCTTAGTTTTTTGAGTATTATAGGTTGGATATTGTTTCTGAAACATTTGATGAAAAACCCTCAAACCAGTTAAAATTAGCTTTGCTTTCCATTTCTTCATTTACTGCATTTTTTTCTTTTTCTTTTCTGTTTGTTTTTCTTTTAGATCACTGTGTTCACTACTATGATCTTCGTAACACTAAACAGCCAATCATGGTATTCAAAGGACACCGAAAAGCCGTTTCTTATGCAAAGTTTGTGAGTGGTGAGGAAATTGTCTCTGCGTGAGTATTACTCTTTTCAGAAATTGAGTTTAACATGTCATCATTTACTGGTTTGTAATGTCACCATGGGTTTTGTGAAGAGTAACACTGTGGTATATGTAGTTTTTCTTAAAATAGTAGAATTTTATAACTTGTTTAATTAAAATACATGTGTATTTTAGTCTGTATTGCTCTCTTTTATATGTTATTTGTGAAGAAAATCCAGATGATGCTATATTTGTTAAAGTTGCCCCCTTAAACATTTGAACTTCAGATTGAATTTCAGCCCCTGCTCCTTAAAAACAGAGAAACAACAGTTGATACAGTATAATAATGAGAAGTGTTTCATTTACTAACGAGCACTAATATGTCTTTATATATTATTTGTATTGTGGTACAGTAGTATAATTTAAAGCAATATTTGATTGACTTTTATGATTCCATGTTACTTGATCTCCCTATGATTTCATGGTGAGTTTTAAATATATTTTGAAGAGAACTTTCTAAATATGACTGCTTATACCTGACAAATATTCTTTAAGACGCCTTCTGAACTAGAGAGCCATAAATAAGCTTTTAGTTATCTTTTATATTGTTGAAGGTAAAAAAGGTGTCAACCAGAAAAATATATCTCAGTTGCTAAAATACTGTTGATTAAGCTTTTCTGCTAACAGGGACAGTCTCTTCTTTCTGTTATCCATTTTATTGTTCTCTTTATTTTATATTACCCTAGTAAAAGCCCATTCTCAGTCTCCTTTTTTCATATATATTACTTCTTCTCAAGCTTAATCATACATTGTTTTCTTTCTTTCACATAGTTTCTAACATATCCTAGGAGATTATTAACACCAGGGCCTTATACTTGGGATCTCCCACCACATCTGTCTCCATTCTGGTGGCTCTAGATAAGAACTTGATAATTTGAGTTGATTTAACAAGGTAATTTGATTGTTATTTAAAAAAAAGAAAAAAAGGAAAAAAGAAAATGAGAGCTGAATTTCTAAGGGGAGTCAACATAGAAAATTAGTTCACAAATGTGTATTAAAAGTGATGACCAGTCAAAAAGTCTCCCTTCTTTTAGAGTAATAATGGGCAGCAAATAATGAAAACTTTATTCAGATTCAATTATGAACGATATATTATATGGCAAAAATATTTTTTCTTAAATTTCAGACTTATAAGTGTTGAATCAGTTAGATTTCAGCTAGTTGAAGTAAGAAGTGAAGTGTTAGCTGCTCAGTCATGTGCAACTCTCTGCACCCCGATGGTCTGTAGCCCACCATGCACCTCTGTCCATCGGAATTTCCAGGCAAGAGAGGATACTGGAGTGGGTAGCCATTTCCTTCTCCAGGGGATCTTCCCTACCCAGGGATTGAACCCAGGTCTCCGCACTGCAGGCAGATTGGCAGATTCTTTACTGCCTGAGCCACCAGAGAAGCCAGGAAGCTGAAGTATATGTTTGCTTAACTGTATAAATTTGAAATCTTAGTCGACCTTTTTTAATGTAGGTTTGTAGTTTATATATTCACCAGTCTTTTGTCCTTTTTGGTGTTTATAAATCATGATGATTTTCCTCTTGAACATATTTGGTGTTTAGAAGTATGTGAGACGAGTTTACCCACAAGTATATTTGGAAATATGAAAAAAGTGATATTAAAACAATCCTACACATACATGTTGCTGCAACCTCTGAATTCTTTGACTGTATGCACACACATACACACACACACACACATAAAGGAATTATCAATGTAATATTGTTGAGCAGAAAAAAAAAATTTAAAACAACATAAATGTCAGAAATTCCCTGGCGGTCCAGTGGTTATAGCTCTGTGCTTCCACTGCCAGGGCCCAGGTTCGATCGCTGGTCGGAGAACTAAGATTATTACAAGCCACGTGGCATGGCCAAAAAAACCCCCAAACCAAAAAAACAAGAAATGTCTGAGAACAAATGCTATGCTGAAAAATAATGAGAAGCAATAGAGTTTTGGAAGTTGGAATGTGGCCTGTGAAATAAGAGTTTCGATCTTGGCTCTACTATTTACTAGCAGTGGTACCTTAAAAATATTCTTAACCTTCTGTATCTGTTTCCTCACCTCTGAAATGGGACTGAGAATACTACTTAAGACGTTGTGAATCTTTGAATAAAATATTGTACGTCAAACATTTAGCATGGTCACCTATTCTGTGACTGTTAGAGAAAAGATGATTTATTGTATAGTCATTAATAGAGAAATGTGTTTATTTCACATAAAATGTAAAACGAATTGTTGGGTGAGGAAGAAGCACTTTGCAAAATAATGTGCTGTATGACTCAATTTTTATAATAAAAAGTCAGAAGTATTGAGTATTTTATTCAAATCCTCAGACTGTCTTTGCATGATAGGGTTGGCATTGATTTTTATATTCAATTATTTTTTTGATTAACAACTGCATTTGCATATTAGTAAGGTAAACTGTATAGACCAAACATTCATAGTATTCCTTGCCTGTAGGTACAACTCAGCTGTGAAAATAGTTTATATTTAATATACTGTTAAAATTGAACAGTTGAAAAAATAAATCAAATCAACTGAAATTGGGAACACAACTCCCAATAGAGCTTTCTTATTGTTTGATGGTGGTCGTATGGTGGTATTGATGAATAATGGTTATACTTCTTATGTGCCCAGGGACTATTGAAAGCATTTAAATAAATTTAATTTTTTTTCAGTCTCTTCTAGGATTCATCTAATCATATAAAGTAGGAATCATTATATTTCATATTTAATTGATTAAAAAATTGAGGCCAAAGAGTTTGTATTAACTTTCCTAAGGTCAAAAGCAAGTAATAGTATACTGAGCATTCTGACTCAGACAGTCTGGCTCCAGAGTCTGCATTCCCTACCACCAAACTGGATTGCCTCTGATTAGTAGTAGTGATGAGTTCCATGTCATGAAATCTTAGAGGTGTTCTAACTTTTTGTGTTTCTCTCAGTTCAACAGACAGCCAGCTAAAGCTGTGGAATGTAGGGAAGCCATACTGCCTACGCTCCTTCAAGGGTCATATCAATGAAAAAAACTTCGTAGGCCTTGCTTCTAATGGAGATTATATAGCTTGTGGTAAGTGAAACTACTTTCTCCTGGAACTTTTAAATAGGTATCTGTCACCAAAATTGCATTCAGTGGAATAGATGACATACCAACTCAGGAAATGAACTGTACATTCAGAAGGTAGCATGCTGAATTTTCTTTGGATTAGAAAAAGCATTAGTCCTTCTCTCCACTGAGCACAAGCCCCAACCATGTGAAACAGCATAAGATTGTTAACTGTCTTACGAGAAGACATTTCTGCTGATATCTTAATTTTGGAGACAGTTGTATCCTTAAGTCTGATGTTCATTTCCCCCTATATAATGTTCCCTTCAATAAACAGTCTGTTTGGATAGTCTCGATCTGTTATTCTAGGACTCTCGTTGATAATTTGTACAAATTTAAATTAGAAATATGAAAATCAAATTTGGTACTGTTGAAATGCTTTAATACATTTGATTCCTGAGTATATGAACTTCCATCAGTACTTTTAAATGACTTGGCCTTTATTCAGTAAAATTAACTATCTCTACATGTATATGAACGTAAACCTTGTCAAAGCAAATCTCTTACATTGACAGATAGTTCAAACTATAGGTTTGTAGATCACTCATCTTTTATTAGGAAATGGGAAATAAGTTTTGTAGATTATTAAAATCTGCCTTTATAAGTGCTGCAACTTTTTTTTTTTTCCACTCTAGACAGAAATCTTTTTAAATGTACTTTAAGATTATACTATAATAACAAATTTCTGGTTCTTCTCTGGACCTCTGCTAAAATGATTTTTATATCAATATTGTTAAATCATTTGACAATGATAATATCTTTAGGTTAGGGAAATATACGTTTTTTTCTTAGGAATCCTTTTCTCACATGATTCCCAAGAAATCTTATGCTCTGGTCTTTCATATTTTACCATAAAAGATTATTAGTCTCCAAACTTAAATGTTGAGTAATAGTTAACTTATGAATATGAAGTCCTATACTAAGTTCTCCCATTCTAAACAAAAAAAGATATTTTAAAATAATTATTTAATTTTTTTTTTTTTTTTTTTTTTTAGGAAGCGAGAACAACTCTCTTTACCTGTACTATAAAGGACTTTCTAAGACTTTGCTAACTTTTAAGTTCGACACGGTCAAAAGTGTTTTGGACAAAGACCGAAAAGAAGATGACACAAATGAATTTGTTAGTGCTGTGTGCTGGAGGGCACTTCCAGATGGGGTGAGTTTTTGTATCAGTTTTTCCACCTTGGTCTCTCATATGATGCATTGCATTTATATATACACAGGTGAGCCTTTTAAGTTTAAAATATAAATTGTTGCATATATTTTCTTTTTTGCTTAGTATTACATCACTAAAGGAAATAGACATTTTAGAAAGTAGTAATTGAATTGTCACTAAAGGAACAGTAATTGAAATGTTACATCATGCTGACATGTCTCTCCTGTGTACCCATAGCATCGTATGCATACCTCTGTTACATCATTATCAGATTATCTGTGTATCTCTCCTACAGGACTGGAAATTTATCCAGGAAACATACTGTGTCTCATTTCCCTTTTTAATCACTTGCAGTATATGCTAAATAAACATTCAGCTGAACCTGATAGTATATTAGGAGGAAAAAGTTTGATGTAGATAAAGGAGAGTGGCCTATATGCATACCTAGTTAAGTACTATTTCAGGGCAGAATTTCTGTCTACAAAATACATTTATATGAGAAAATTTAAACACATTTGATTTCTTAACATGAAAGTTGAATTTCCAGGTTGCCCAAAAAAGTTTCTTCAAACTTATTCAGTTATACATTTTAAAGTACAAGTTTTCTCATAAGTTATATGAAGAAGTAATTGTTTTTATTGTCTTGATTTTGTAAATGTTAGTCATCTGTTAATGTCTTTTTTTTTAAATAACTTTTTAGGTATTTACTTAGTTTTATTTTTGACACAAAAAATTCTACTTGATTGGTACTTTAAGACTTCTGAGTTCTTGTACAGTTTAAATAGGTGTATTCAAGCTATCTTGTTTAAAGTTCTGTTACTCAACTTCAGTTTTGGTAGTGGCAGACAGGATGATTTGGACCAACCCTTCCTCTAAGTAGAACTAGAAAAGTTAGACCAAGTGTATGTATTTTAAAACCAAAACCGGTTTTAAGTCATTGGAAAATAAACAAGCTAGAAAAGAATCAGCAGTCTAGGAATGTGGCCTGGCTTTTGAGCATCCTTTCTCCGCTGGGAACATTTGCCAGTTTTGATGGAATGTCTGAGAGTGCTTATGGTAGCTTCATGGGATCACAGGGAATGCAGCTGGTGCTCACCACCATATGGGTGAACGCACTTTGGTCTCAGTACTCAGAGGGCTCTAGTCTAGAGTAAACCAGTCGAAGATAAGCCCCCAGTGATTTTGCAACTCAGTTACAGGTCACATCAATCCTGAATAAATTTATGTTATCATGGATTGCTGGGGTTCACAGGATGTAAAATTAAATCCTCTCTGCAAGAAGACCTTCAAAAGAAGATCACCGAAGAATTTTATTTTTTTTCAAAATTGCAAATATAGTAACTAGGCACAATAAAAAGTAAACAGGTATAGGAAAGGTAAGATGACATGAATAAATTTAGCATAAGTATTGGACAATAGAAACAAAATCACAACAACTCTGGGTATTGTCAGACATAGCCTGAAAATAACCATACTGACAAAATGAAAGACAAGGTGGAAAATTTCAAATGGGAAATAAAAAGTACTTTTAAAATGAAAATTCTAGAACTAAGAAAACATAATTACCAAAATTAGGAACTTAGTGGATGGGTTGAGTGGAAGATGAGACACAGTTGAAAAGAGAATTAATGAACTTGTAGTATAGATAGAAGAAAATATACAGAAGTAATCATGGAGAGACAAAAACTGATGAAAAAAGAGGTAGAAGTTGAAGTAAGAAAGCTGACGCTCAGTCATGTCGGACTCTGTGACCTCACTGACTGCAGCCCACTCGGCTCCTGCCCCTGGAATTTTCCAGACAAGGATACTGGAGTGGGTTACCATTTCCTCCTCCAGGGGATCTTCCCCACCCAGGATTCAAACCCACATCTCTTGCACCTCCTACATGAACAGGTGGATTATTTACCACTGTGCTACGTGGGAAGCCCCAAAGCAGATATTAGAAAGGATTATTGTTGATAAAGCTTTACATCATTGATGAAAGACATTAAGGCAGAGATTCAGTAAACTTTCATACCCCAGAGAATAAATGACTTGAAACCTACATTGTGAGTGGAAATTTAATATCAGATCTGGACCCTGAACATACATAGACCTGCATGAAAATCTGACCTTGGGTCCACCTTCTTATAGCACTTTGCTGTGGAAATAAGCTGTATTGAGACAAATAGGGAATGTTATGTGTTAGGAGCTAGTTATCTCTTAATTTTACTCTGAAACCTCATCTATCACGTTGCTTCTGAACTGAGAGAACTGTGAGTTGACATACTGGCCTTACATCGGTGCAGTGTGAACAATGTGACTGGCAGGAAACCAAGGTACTTCTCTGTGTTGAGGTGAACCACCTGCATCTCAGCTGTCCTTGGCAACTGTGCTCACTTTCTGTGGTTTGGGGAGAGATCCAAGAAGCTATGCATGGTTTTGAAGATGCTGTGCACGCTGACTATCCTATCTTATATCCTTCTATAAAGCTAATGAAGTGCTAGATTTAAAACTAATTGTGTCTGATCCTGTGACCCTTGCTGGTGGTGGGACACATCTTATTAAAAGTGCTGAAAAAATACAATGGGAGATTCTTAAAAGAAAGCAGAGAAAAACTGTCTTCAAAGAATGGATAATTGGACTGACAACTTCTCAATGAAACAGTAGAAATCAAAAGATAGTGGAGCCAGATCTTCAGTGTGTGAAGGAAAAATACCTGCCAATCTAGCATTCCGTATCCAGTAAAGGAAAACTTTTTTAGAGAAATAAGAATGAAGCATTTGCCACCAGAAGAAAATTTTCTACACTAAAGAAAATCTTAAAGGATATTCTTAAGGCAGAAGGAAAAAAAAATGCAGAAGATGGAAAGTCAGAGTTGCAGAAAGGAATGGAAAGCAATAGAAATGGTAAACATGCAGTAAATCTAAATGCATGTTGACTATAAAGCAATGAATGAGGTCTGTTGGACATAATACACACATAGAATTAAGTACTTGACAATAATAAGTCGGAAGAATAAATGTGATTAAAGTGTCTCAAGCCCTTGCTTTGTCAAGGAAGGTGGCAAAAGAACTAATTAATATTAGACAGAAAGGGTACATATTATAGTTCATAGGATAACCTCCAAAATAGGTTCTTAAAGTCAACTTTTTCTTCTAGGCTTATAATATTTGCTTTTAATTCCTTCTATTTAAAGTCAGAATATGTCTAAAATTGTTCGTTTTAATCTGAGGGATAGTACTTTGTCCTTTCTCTTTTTTTTTTTTTTCCTACTACCTTCCCTATGTCTAAAAGCACAACAGAGTCTTCTGTCCTTTGTTCTTCTGTTAGTGGCTTTAGCATTTCTACTGTTAAAGTGCCACAGCCTCTTGTACCACATTTAATTTTCAAAAGAGTTTTAAGATAAGTTTGAACTGTATCAAAAATACTTTTTTCTTTTTTTTGGAAGGAGAATTTTTTATTATACACTCTAGATCCTCTCTAGGATACCTAGAAATGGTAATATTTATTATATTCTAATGAAGAATGCAGAATTCTTCATTTTATATTTTGTTTTTACTTTTACTATTTTAATTCACTTGAAGATATTTTAATTAAACTTTAGTAATTTAGAATTATTGACATATGAATATTCTGTTATTGCCAGATTCTTAGGATTTTAACCCCCAAGAGTTAGTCTTATTTGTATTGCCTATTTTGGTATTAATGTCATGATTTTTTTTTAAAGGGGGGAATTTGTATGAAATACCCGCTTGGAATACCACTTAACCACCCTACTTTTATTTAGACTTTGAAATTTAATTTCTTCATTGGTTGGTTTTTAAGTATAAATGAAGTGAGCTTGATCATATGTTTAACTTGCTGTAATAAAAAAATAAATTACTATCCATTTGTTTGAAAAAGCAATTGTAAAGTCTAAAACTGTGTACTTGAATGTAGTATATCCATATATGATTGAACATCCAAATACATTACATTTGAATAATTACACAATCTATGAAATAGTGTGGTTTGCTTTATTTCCATGTATAGCAGTCAGCTATGTACTTTTGATTATAGAGAATGGTGGGTTAGTGGACTGTAATTTCAATTCATTTTGTGACTCTTCTTCCTTGAAAAGTACCGCATAATTTATTTTAACCTCTTGTGTCCCGTTGTAGTAATGTTTGCTGTCTGATACTTATTGGACAAGCCATTACCTGGATCTGTTCATGTTAGTTCTAGTTTCAGCTTTTCTTCTAAAATATTCTATTTACTCACAATTTCTAGTAAGTATTCATATGGACTAACATAAAATTTATTTCTTTGTTCCCTTCCTTCCTCCTGAAAGGCAGTAGTGATATGATTAGTTTAAGTAATTATCCTTAAACTAATTTAGAGTTGATTCCAAAGAAAGTTCTTTTGCAGCTGTATATTAGGAGAGTGTGGAGTCAGAGTGAATTTCCTTGGCAAGCGCATCAGTGGAAAATACTGTCATCATCTTGAAACATTGCATAGGTTTTGATTTTTGTTTTCTTCCACAAATAGTTATAGTAGCTTATTATTGAAAGAAACTGTTAGTAATGAATACATGTATATTTTAGAGAATTTAGAATAACAACAACAACAAAGAAAAGAAAATATCTGTTATCACTTTTCCCAGAAATAACTAATATGGGCATTTTAATATAATTAACATGTAATTTTTTCCATTCATAGGAACTTTTTCCCCCAATAGCAGTGACTATTTTGTTTATTATCATGTATTCTTTACCTTTTGCCTTTGTCATGAACATTTCCCAGATCTAAATATATTTTGAAAAGAGAGTTTTCACTGATTCCATCTTATTTACCATAATATGGTTAAGTTAAGGATTTACCATGACTGATACACTGTTGTTTTGCCAAAGATACTTTACTTTTTACTACTATGAATAATGCTTCTTGAATATTTTTTAATAAATCTTTAAATTTCTAATTAATTCTTTAGGAGAGAACTTTAAAGATTTATTCATTTGAAGGAAATGAATAGCTTTAAG